ATTTCTTCGAGCCAAGCTGCATAAACTGCATATCAGGCATTTATGTAATACATCTAATTTGTGCATTAATGGCTGTTATGTTAAAGTTTACTAACTACAGTAAATCAAGTACCTGTGCGCGCCGTTGTTGTGGTCTCCTCTACCCTCAGACGCCGTTGTGCAATGGCGATACTGCGCGCAATTCTCAAAACATCCACAAGATGGCGGCATTTATCGGTGAATCCGATATTACAAAACCGATGTCCGATTATTGTAAAATGCTTAAATATCGGGAAAAATATCGGTAAATCGATATATCGGTCGATCTCTACTATCATCTATCTATATCTATCTATTATCTAATTTAATCTATGTATAGAGAAATTAGATATATATATAAAAAGATATTAAACAATATTTTTCTGGCATTTAAAGTGCACTTTTTTTTTTTTTGAATGACATTGTCTGTTTTAAGCAGTTTTTGACCAAATGGACTTTAGCAACCAGGGGTGTGTCATTGTTTGGAGAATTTTACTAAATGTGTTGTTTTTATTTTAAGTTTATGTTAGTTTTAACTTCAGTTTTCTACAGTGAATTTTTCGTACACACAATCATATTAATTCAAACATGTACATCTTTTTTTTTTTAGTATTTGATTTGTCTCTGTTTTCTCTGCCAAGCTAGATTGTACTGTTATGTGTGTGTGTGTGTGTGTGTGCTTCCTCAGACATTTAGTAACCTTTAAAAGAATGAGCGTGAAGGACAGGGGTTGTCTGACCCTTCTCCTTCGGAAACCAAACACTGTGCTTCTTAGACATGCTCTTCCTCATTCATGAATTCTGACCTGCACATACACACACGGTTCACTCGACAATGAATGAAAGCAAGCCTCCGAGCAGAATGGAATGGCAAAGACGTCAGTCTGTTTTCAGAAACAATACAAACCGCAATGATGATGTCAGCAGGAGGCTTTCTCAGAGAGAACAGGAGTTTTAGAACATGATGCCACGACCCACTGAAACATGCATTAGCAGGGGGTCATGGGAAAGAAGGCCCCTGGGCCCTGCTGCTCAGACACAGTAGGAGAAGGACAAACAATCTAGAGAGACCATGTTGAAGGAGGAGATCTCCGCTGCTTATTTTGCTTCCACACCACTTGTTTAAAGTACAAATCAGCTTCTCATCCCATTGCACCCAGAATCCTTAAACACCAAGGGTTATTTGCAAAGTTGAATGAATCCTCAATACCTGTTGACTTAAAGGGGTCATATGATGCGATTTCAAGTTTTCCTTTCTCTTTGGAGTGTTACAAGCTGATTGTGGTCACGCGCTTGAGGTATTCGGCCAATCACAACGCATTGGATAGCTGGCCAATCAGAGCACACCTCGCTTTTTCAGACCGATGAGCTTTGTAAAAAGTCGACGCGTTTCAAAAAGGCGGGGCATAGAGGAGAAACAATAATGTACAGTATGTGGAAAATAATGTGTTTTTTTAACTTTAAACCGCATAAACACATTTCATTACACCAAATACACAAAATAATGATCTTTAAAAAAGCATCATATGACCCCTTTAAACGGAATGGCTTGTGGCAGAGCTGAGGGCTGATTTGTGTATGGATTCTTATTCGGCTTCTACTTTTCCATAAAAAGCCAAAACAATCACGAATCTCTGTAATAATGTCCAGTTATAGATGAAGTAATTCAGCAATCGATGCCTCACTCAGCGGAACCATGGTGGGATCTTAGAAGCTGGGTTACCCCTTACTGAGACTAAACTAATAACCTTTGTGTAAGCAGCCTACATTGTTATCCATTAGGCTTTCACGATCCATGCATGCCTGACATAGACAGAGCATGCGGCATAGACTACACAATAGATATTAATCTTTTCTGTCACCCCTAATGCAAACTGCATCGTATTTATTTAATGTATGTTCTTTTTGTTTTGTATTGTTTAGGACGGTGCAGTGTAGACAGGAAAGTGGAGGGAGAAAGTGGGAGAATGGGACCAAGACCAAGGTTTAAACACTAGAAGGCATAAAGGTTCAAATTGCAGAATGCTTGGTTTGCATTGCAGCGTGGTCTGTTTTGTTTCAGTTTGGTTTGGTTTTATATTGTTATACTCTCTGCATTGCTATTTACGATGCAGGATTAGATTGTTTTGATGCTGATTCTGATGTCTGAGAAGATCTGATTATCAGTATTTATTTTTCTCAGAGTCCTTTTTTGATTTCTTGTTTTTATACAAACTTGTTATGCAGCTTGAGTCATTACATTTTCTAGATTAATATTTGGGGTTGTTAAGATTTTTTAAAGTAGTTGTTGAAAGTGGTTGAATGTGAAATGTTTTCTAATTTAATATATTTTAAAATGTAATTTATTCCTGAGAAGGCAAAGCTGAATTTTCAGCAACCTTTGCACCTGTCTTCACGGTCACATGATCCTTCAGAAATCATTCTAATATGCTGATTTGGTGCTGAATTTCTTCTCATTATCAATGCTGAAAACATTTGTTCTGCTTAATATTTTTGAGGAGTCTTTGACGAGTTCAAAAGAACAGCATTTATTTGAAATACATTGTCTTTATTGTCACTTTTTATCAATTTAATGCATCATATTTGAATAAAAGTATTAATTCTTTCCAAAAATAAATAATAAAGACCCCAAACTTCATTCTTTACATCAATTTGAAATTTATTTTCAATTCTTGGTCTGTTGATTCAGAAATACATAGAATTAGCATACTTGCTCTTGAAAATTGACATTTCCCAATTCATACACATTGTATATTTTCAGAGGAATAGATGAACAAAAATATACCTAGCTGTTTAAAGGAACTATTTCAGCTCTAATGGCTCTTTCTGTATATCAGCATATTAATCCACCTGTGGCGTTGGGGTCAGGCGAGTCATTCCTTACACTGGGAGTCTCTAGATTTGAGTCATTTTAGTATGAGAGCATTTTAGGATGGAGTCTGTTGACAGTGTTACAGTCTGTTATAGAATGAGGAACAAACAGTCCTGGCTCAGGTCAGAGCAGAGAGGTGGAGAGGACAGCACCTGCTGTGTGGGAAGGCCGTGTGGCCCGTACGGAGGGCGAGAGGAGCAGGAAGTCTTCATGTTTGCGGTGTCATTTTAGGATGATAGTGTTTTGTAACAGTCTTATGTTTACGGATGTAATCTCATGAACAAACAACCATCAAATTAAAATTGAATCGAAATCAAATTTTGGCCTTATTTAAAATGTATGCCGGGACAGTAAAAGTTTATTTCCAGAGGTTACATTATAGTATTCTAAAGCAATGCTGAGTGAAAAACGCTGCAATAAAAAGAGAATACAAATACTAATTCTTAAAGGCACAAAAAAGGTTACATTCTCAGGGTTAGAAAAAAAAAACATAAATAATGGGTGTTTTGCCACAAAATACTTTCAACTAACGATATAAATGGGCCCCAGGGAAGAAAAACATGATTTATGATATGATCTCTTTAAGGATTTATTTTAAATTGCTTTTATCTTTTATTTTTTTAAGACTTTTTAACCGACACTTTTATCTTTAATGATGATTCTTCAGATTTGATTTACTTATTTGGACTTCAGAGATGGTTACTGTCATGAAGCTGTTACTTATCCATTTGTTACCCACTGTGTTATCTAGTAGTATCCAGTGAGAATGCTGGATGAAATTTATCGCATGCGGTGTGCGTGTGAGTAAGTGATGTTAATGCCCGTGGAGTACTCAAAGCGTGGGCGGATTCTTAGTCCAATAGATGCCTTCGCAGGAGGCACCTCTAATGTGTTATGGCACACACACACACACACACATACACAAATCTTCTCTGATCCAGCACTGACTCACCCATCACTTTTCCCTGCTTCTCTGGTTCTCTCCGCAGGAACGCATCTTCCTGACGTTGTCCAACTACATATTCACTGCCATCTTTGTGACCGAAATGACAATAAAGGTAGGTGACGGGGTTGGCATTTGTCTCTGTGTGGTGTCTTCTATGACAGAGGGTAAACTAGCACACTGCCTGGGCCACAATACCAGCCAAAAGCAGACTTAACTTCAGTTCCCTGTGGCTTTTTTATAGTGCCGATCTCTCTTAGATCAGCTTGACTAATGGAGTCTTGTGAAAAAATAAATATATATATATATATATATATATATATATATAAAACAACTTTAACATTTATATAACAACTTCAGTTTCATTCATTGTAACAACAGATCTCTCCTTTTGTGTTTGACAGAAGAATGTAAGTTGTGCAGGTTTGGAACAATGTGAGGGTGAATAAATAATGACAGAATTTTGGGGTGAACTATCCCTTCAAGGCACTGCTTTCCATTGACAGTCACAAAGTCTACACAAAGACTACAGCAGCAAAAATATTAAAATCATGCTCCGACATGTTTAACTGCTGCCAGTCAGCTGAATTAAACATTTGAACAAATACAGGTCCTAAAGAGAGCCCACTGACATGAAGAGTCTATTAAGCAAGCCTTGCTCTCTATTTTCCACTCTCCACCACAGCAGTTAATACTAAGCAGGGGTGGATTGTCTGCCAGATATTCAAATGACTAACGTTGAAATGGAAGAACATGCTGAGGCCTCTCTGGAGAAGACAGAAAAGTTCATAGGTGTCAGTCACAAAGGTCTAGGGTTTCTATTCTGGGGCCCTGCTTTATGCCAGGTCACGCCCGCCTTAGAGATTTCAAATGAAAATCATGGCACAGAATAATCATACTCACTGGAGGTTAATTAACGGCAACTGACAAAAACTTTCCGGGTCGGATGAAGATGACGGCTGTTGAAACTCCTGGCTTTTGTTGCCTGACATGCCTTTGTTCACTTTGAGGTCTGATCACATTGTGGTTTGATATATTCACCAGCAACATCATTAGGAGCTGTGCATTCATGCTTAGTACTTTTTAGTCAGATGATTCTCAATCCTGGTTTGTTTATCTCAGCACCCCCCCCTCTCAGAAATGCCATGGTAGTGTGAAAAAGACCTCAAAGGAATAAGAAAGTGTTTCTTCCCAAAATTCAGATTTCAAACACATCATGTTTTCTCACGTTTCCTGTCATGTGCATAGTTTTTCTAACAGGTTTTGTTTTTGAAAGAATTTCATTTATAGTAGGGTGCATATTTTTACAAAATTGTGTGCATTTTTAACATCTACAAAATTCATTTGTAATGAAAGCTACAGTAAACAAAGTACATAACTACAGAAAATATGATTTACAGATATAATGAAGTATTGCTTTTACTTAAAGTGATAGTTCACCCAAAATTTTTAATTTTCTGAACATTTACTCATCCTCAGGCCATCCAAGATGTAGATGAGTTTGTTTCTTCATCAGAACAGATTTGGAGAAATTTACATCACTTGCTCACCAATGGATCCTCTGCAGTGAATGGGTGCCGTCAGAATTGAGACTCCAAACAGCTAAAAAAAAACATCACAATAATCCACAAGTAATCCATCAAGTTTTTAACTTCTCTATCCATTATATTGCTTTCTTCAGTGAAAAAGTCATCTCACCTGAGTCAGGAGAGAAATCAAGCACCATTTACAAACAAATACAGTCCAAAAACAGTTCCGATTATGTCGGTGGATTTTGGTGTGAGAGGACAACAGGGCATTATTATAGATTATGGACTAGTATTTTGGTTAGAAAGGACGGTTTAAAGTTAAAACGCCTTAATGATGGATTTATTTCCTACAAACATGCACTGGAGTTGTGTTCATTATTTGTGGATTATTATGATATTGTTATCAGGTGTTTGGACTCTCATTCTGAAGGCACCCATTCACTGTAGAGGATCCATTAGTGAGCAAGTGCTGTAATGCTATATTTCTTCAGATCTTTTTAGATGAAACAAACTCATCTAAATCTTGGATAGCCCGAGGGTGAGTAAATAAAAAAAAATATAAAAAAAGTTTTTATTTTGACTATTATGATACAAATTCGTCTGTCGTCCATTGTTCTGCAAAACAGATCAACCTACAAATGGCTTACATGGACTAGAATACAATGTTGTGAATACAATGTTGTATTTGTATGAAACTGTACACAATTTGGCTTTAAGTTAAATTTTATCCAAAATTTCTGCTTTGAAATCATACGTCTTGTTGCTGTGAAGGTGGTTGCTTTGGGCTGGTGTTTCGGGAACAAGACCTACCTGAAGAGCAGCTGGAATATTCTCGATGGTATGCTGGTGATGATCTCCGTGATTGACATCCTGGTATCCATGATCTCCAGCAGCGGCACTAAGATCCTGGGAATGCTTCGGGTGCTACGGTTACTGAGGACCCTGCGTCCACTCAGGTACACAACACAACTGTTCAAACATCCAGTCAGTGCTGCGTTAAGACATTATTCTAAATAATAGTAATGAGTACATCGAAGCTTTAATGCACAAGTGCAATGCTGAAGGCTACATACATAAACACTTCGATATGTACTTCGGGTCAGAGTGCTAGATTTGCACATCTTAAATAAGCATCCACTTTCTTACAAGAAGCATAATTAATGTAAAGACTGAAGTCCCACAATTAGCCTCTTCCTCACAGAAGCATCAATTAGCTCCTAATTGATGCAGTATGTAGCTGTGTTTGTGTTTATGCATATGCATGTATTTGTGTGCATATGTGTGTGTGCGCTGTGCACCTTTCCTCCTGCAGAAGGAACTTCTGGAGGCCTTCCCTACTCTTAAATATTTATGACATATTCAAGCAGAAAATAAAAATCAAATATTCATCTTTCCTGCCCAATTTCCCCACAAAATGCTTACACTGGTCTTTCACCCCCAGTCACCCCCTTCTCCCTTTTCAAGTACTCCTCAATTTAGGGTCAACCTCCGCAATTTCCTAATACTACCAAGAGGCTTGTATTAAAAATACAATATATTCCGGTAGTTGTGTTTTCACTTGCCTTTCAACTGTGTTGGTGCAACATTAATGTGCTGTCAACAACATTTTTGAAAAGGAACTGGAAAGAAAAGACCATTTGGATTTGTTTTTGCATTTTATTTATGTTACTCTGCCAGATACAAGGAACTTTCAAATATTAAATGGCAAAAACCAACAACAACAACAATTTTTTTTGTTGCCTACATGTATATTTATCATATAATATTTATACTGCATTAATGTAAATTACATACTTTTGCTCCTGTGAACTACTAAAGAGGAAAAAATGTTGTTGAGGGAAAAATGTAGTAACTGTACTACAGTAACTATATTTGTTTGGTACACATGCACACTGAACTGAAACACCTATAAAAAATATTTGGTACGGATATATCTACTGTTGCACTACTGTTATAGAGAGACATAGAGAGGATATATGAGAGTATATCTAAATGTGTGTGTGTCTATGTATGTGTCACGGAATGCCAAGAGAGACAAGGTAAGAATCCAGGTGCAGTTTATTGAAAGTAACAAATAATCAAAATGGAACAAAAACGTAAACACAAGAAACAGAATAACACGGTGAACTCCAGATAACATCAAGAAGACATGGGAAGACAAATACAATATAGCAGCAGTGACAGACAGAGTGAGCATGGTATATATAGATGGGAAGTTCAGGAGGGAGGTGGAACTGAGGCGGACCAGGGGGAGGGATGGCGGGCCAGGACCATGCCAAGGAAGGGGGTCAGGGAACAGAGGTAGACCAGGGTCTAAGAGCGGAACCGGCAGGGTGGAAAGCCAAGGCGGGGCCGGCAGGACGAACCAGCAGGGCCCCAACCATACAGGAACCCCAGCAGATAGCCAGGACGGAGCTGGAGGAATGAGCCAGTGAGGCTCCAGCCAAACCAGGACCCAGGCGGGCAACCAGAGTGGAACCGGAATCCTGTCAGGCAACACTGGTGGGACAGAAAACCCTCTCCGCAACTCAAGAGAAACTGAAAACAAGTGCAGAGAGAGTTTAGTAACAGCCTCAACGGCTGCAACAGGACAAGCTGATTGCTCCGCAACGGTCCCCGTTAGCTCCCGGACTGGAGCGAGCTCTGAAGTGGACCTTGTGAGCTCCCGGACTGGAGCGGACTCTGTGAGCTCCCGGACTGGAGCGGACTCTGTGAGCTCCCGGACTGGAGCGGGCTCTGGAGTGG